TCCCTCCCCTTCCTCCCAACCCAGAACTCAAACCCCCCAAACTCAAAAACCAAATTCCCATCAACACCCATCCCATCCCATCCCATCACACAAACACAAACACAAATACAAACACTACACTACCCGCATAATCCTAATCCCAAACCCAAGATAGACAACGACAACACTCTAAGATCCAACCTCTCAATCCCAACAAGCCAAATCCTCTTATCTCCTCCTTCATCTTTCTTCCTCTCTTTTCCCCCTTGTATATACACGAACACCCTCATCCCTGAGACAATAACCACCAACCAGTCACCTCACAACCCAATCCAGTCACCTCACAACAATCAAAAATCAAAACTCACAACCATCAAAGCCTCAAAAATCACAATTCCCATCAAAACAGCAACACAACATACACACACACACATCCTAACCCATCCATCCAACCTCAGCACAAAGCACCCCGAGCATCACATACATATAAACCACTTTAAGAGTATCTAGAACGGATCCGTGGCAGGATTAAGGTATACATATTTCATTCCTCATAAAATCACACTTGCCCTCAGACACCAATTTGGTATTTCTTCAAAAAAAAATCAAAAAAAAAACCGACACAAACGATCTATTCGCCCGTGTTGAACTGCATTCAAGTGTCAATGCCCTTCTTTTCATACCGAGGATTTGATTTTCAGACTACGAGTAGTAGGTCGAAAAACGAAAAGAAAAAAAGATTCGGATTTTCTTCCTCCCACGCACATCGCAACCCATACAATCATTCATGATCGTACCATCAACGACCTCTATCAACTCGTCCCAAAGCTCTCGCTTGACGAGGCCCCCATGATACATGTAACTAACCCCCAACACAAGGAGCACTATACTTATCCCTCCAAAGCTTCCCCAATACCTCATACAAGAACGCATATTGCTCATAAGCCTGCACCATCGTCTTCCTCTGCTCACGCAACCGGTTGACCGTCTCAAAAATCGGATCTTTGCCAGGATGTTCCGACTCCCATTTCTCCCAAACTCGATCGTGGAGCTCGCCCATCAAGAACTCCGACGCAACAAAAGTACCGGTTCGTCCAACACCAGCACTGCAGTGGACCAGACGAGGATTCTCGCCGCCGCCATTGGCCTTGCGAGAAATCTCCATCAATGAGAGGAGGCTTGCCACATTGCTCTCTTCCAAAGCACCAAAATCAGGCCAGTTGGGGTACAAGTAGTGCCAAACGGGCTTTTCCTCATCTTGGCCGTCGACCGTCATGACGAATTGTCGGACCTCAATTTGTGTTCCGGGAATATCAGGTTCTCTGGAAACAAAGGTAACCTTTCCATGGAATTCATCTCCGAGCTCATTCTTTTCATTGAGGACGAATTCATCCCCTTCTTTTTCGGGAAAGTAAGGGTAACATTTCTCCATGGTCTTGGTATTTGATGGATCTGGACCGTGGGTCGGGCTCAACATGATGATGATTGCAGGAGAAGAATTGTTCGGGGTTGCCAACTCATGCCAAACCATATGCCAGACATGATTAACTGTCTGTATCTTGGGGCCTTGCATACAAATATACTTGGCTTGAATACCTTTCTTTAGAGTACTTTGCGTGCCGGTAGTAGAGATCAAACTGATAGGTGATGCATTGATGTAATCGTTAACACCCTCTGGGACCTTGAGCTTGATACGATTGTAAGCCCAAGGGTAGATATTGTTATAACGATCAAGAAGCGGATCTGGATCTAAGCGACCCCACTCCGGATCGTTACCTCCTGCAGCAAGACGCATACTTTCAAGACGAACCAGCTCTTCATACTTGCTTCTAATCTCTGTCCCTCATTAGCTGGAACTCGACGCCGGTCAAGCATTGGGATTGGCACCTACCGCTTTCTGAGAGTTGCAAAAAGGCGGGGATTTCAGGTGATCGGTCCTCGGCTGGAGCCGCATCAGCAGCGGAAGTAGTTTTTCTATCGCCGCTATCAGGCTTGGCAGCTTTTGCAGGAGGAACTGCATCCTCTGCACCATTTGGTTTACCCATGCAAGTTCCGTCGATTTGGGAAACACCATCTGCTTCTTCCGGTGGAGGGGTTGCTGAGTGAGCACGCTTCGTGGATGAGCGAAGACGTTCCATCTTGCCTCTCCAACCAGGCGATCTTCCTCTGGGGGTGGTTGAATCAGGTTGAGGTATTGCGATGGCTAAGTTTGGAGTGTTTGAAGGAGACTCGTGGCGCCTACGAAAGGCACGCAGTCGATCCAGGGTGAGTGAGACTCGCAAAAGTGCGAGAGGCTGGAGGTGGGGTGTGGTGGGGTGGGATGAGGGTGAGGGGGGTGGTAAATGAGGCTGAAGGAGAAGAAACGTGGAGCGCCAACCGGGATACTGGCTATATAAAGGCGTAGATGTCGGCAAGTCGACAATGCAGAGAGGAGCCAGATTTTGCGACAAGAGAGAGAGGCCGTTCAAAGAGCTTTTAGGTGACAGGCGCAATGAAGCGGCGGGATGATTGTAGAATGTCAGAGGTAGAATATAGAAGGGCTGAGGTGGCAATAGAAATCTTGGTCTTGGGAGAGAGAGAAAGAGAGAGATCGATCCAAAGCGAGATCCAAAGCGAGGGCTCCAGAGGAGAAAAGAAAGAAATCGATGCTGATGCTTGGGGTATCTCAGAGCGGAAAGCAGAAAACGGAAAGGGGTGAAGATGGAGGTGAGTTGGAATGATAATGGATCGTCAAGAACTCAGGATCCGAGAAAGATGCAAGGCAAAGAGAGAAGAGTTGGAGGTTGTTTGGAGTGTTTATGCATGGGCATGTGCTTGGGCATGGGCAAGAGAAGGAGAGATAAATTACGATGAAGGGGCGAGGGATGGAAGATCTATGAATAGTGATAGCTGGAGTGGATAATAGGCTGGTGCTGGTGCACACGGGAGACTCGCTGGCCTGCGCTTTTTACTTCTGTGGCCAATGCGATCATCAGAGACAGTGAGTGAGAGTGAGAGGAAAGAAGCAACTACACGCAGATTGTACGAGTGGCTGTATTCCTGGGCGTTTTCTGGCTCAACAAAAAGGTACAAGCAATGGTCAGGAAATAAGTTCCCTAGGCGTGCGTATGTACCCATAAATTCCTCTGGCACCTACATCCTTGCAAAGTTCAAGTCTCACATCTTCAAAGTCCCATTGGTCATGGCTTCAGTTGATGCCGAGTAAACACTAATTCCTTACCTAGGTAATTCCTTCAGTGGCAAAACATAAAAGATACTTCTATAAAACATCGGATTCAAACTCTGGTGAATACCTAGGTATACAAGTACTTTCCATACAATATACCTTACTCGACCACCCACACGTCATTCGGAAGTTAAGTCTCAGTGAATCTACCATCTCATCCTCTAGTACAGCGTTCAGTGCTATAAGAGAAGAACCAAGCTTCCATTGGAGTTAGTCTGTAGGCTTAGGATCCCTGCACATCTGTTACCCGGTCCCACCTTCCACCTTCACAATCACAACCCAAGACCTTTATCGCGACTTCCTTGCATCGCCCAATTTACTCTACAACAACGACTTTCACACAAACCACCCTCACAACCACCACCGCCTCCAACCCTCCAACCTCCCACCAAGAAAGCAGCATTCTTCCCCCCATCCCTCCATCCCACATCCGTAATGCAAAAATGCTCTCCCACCTCGAAGTCCGTCCCTCTGTCCCCTTCCCCCTCAACCACCATCCATCTCCCTCCCCCCTCTATACCCCAACCTCTCCTCCCCCCTTCCCACTCCCCCATCCTCTCCAAACCAACTAACCCCCCCTTCATAGGCCTACCTAACCACCCGCCTCCTAGCAAGCCCCTCCTTCCACCGCCTAATCCGAACCGTCCACAAAAAAGTCCACGAAATACAACACGGACGGATCCCCTCTTCCCCCCAGGACCCCTCCTCTCTCAGGGGCGGAAAGAAGATTAAGAAACCCTCGCGTTCAAATGTACAATTCCAGAAGTTTTTGGAGAACTATCGTGAGGAATTGAGGGTGCAGTTTTGGGGAAGTAGGAAGAGAGGGAGGGGGAGGTAGATGCAGCACGGGCGGGACATCTCTTCCGTCGGGGGCGGGACGAAGATTGAGAACCCCTCGCGTTCAAATGGACAACTCCAGAAATTTGTAGAGAACTATTTGGAGGAATTGAGGGTGCAGTTTTGGGGGGGGGGG